AGCACAGCCACCAATCACAATATTCCTAAATATAATGATGGCTGATCCAGGGTACCTGAAGGCATAATCCTCTCGGTGGTCTCTGCTCGGGGACAGCTGTCCGTTCCTCTTGGTGAAAAGCTTCTGGAAAAGTGTGGGTGGCATCTTTCTGGAAACTCCCAGCTACCAAGTGACATTAAAGTGTGGGAACATCGCGCTCGCCACCACTATCTCCAGCACTCCATCACCATAGCAGTCATATGACTGCTCACAGACTCGCCTCTCTAGATGGGAGGGACCCTCCGCCTGATCGCCACTCCCAGCTCTGCCAGCCACTTCCTGCCCTGCACAGTCTAATCGAAGCTCTCATTGGCTGTTTGGCCTCATAATATATAAATCGGGCACATCCGGCATCCCTTTAGACGTGGGAGTCCCTTACTAACCCGACGGCCGCTTGGTGGTGCTGAGCGGCTTCTGCGCTCTCTATAGAATTGTATTGGAGGGTTATTCAATAAAGCGTTTGCAACACTGTTAGGAAGCCCCGAACCAGGTTCATAAAAGCAATAGGATAGTTCAAATGTGACAAATTCAGGTAGTTCTTAATGACATGTTTACGTTATGTCATAATGGCTCTGACAAAATCATAAAGAAATACAGCCCTTTTGGAGATAACCAAACTGGCACTAAATAAGACTTACAGGCCTATTCACAAAAGGGTTTGGAGAAGGCAGGAGAAGGGAACAATCTAGGCCAAAATAGCTGAACTGGAAAGTGAGCTGAATTGGAGAATTTTTCCAAATCCGCTATTTTGTCCTAGATTGTTCACTTCTCCTGCCTTCTCCAAACTCTTCACCCTCTTGTGAATAACCCTGTTAGTTTGGTCCCTCAGGATCCCCCAGCTTATTGTTTCCCCTAAGTCATTGGATGCTAGGACACTAGCATCCAATGGCCGCCTGCATCCTAGCAACCAATCCAGGGCCGCCTGCATCCTAGCAACCAATGATGCTGTGCAGAAAGGTTGTCAGTGTCCTGGGCCCCATTGGCTGCTAGGATGCAGGCTAGCAACCTAAGAGGTCATGCAGCGAGGCCAGCAGCATATTAGCAACCAATAACACTGCACACAAAGACCACAAACGTCCTAGCAACCAATGACGATGTGTGGCTGAATGTCATTGGTTGCTAGGATGCAGGCTTGCAACCTAAGGTTCCATGCAGCTAGGCCTCCAGCATCCTAGCAACCAATGACAATGTGTGGCTGGATGTCATTCATTGCTAGGATGCAGATTAGCAACCTTAGATGCTACCATGTTTCCCCGAAAATAAGAAACTGCCTTATATTTTTTTTGGCTCAAAAAAACACGCTAAGTCTTATTTTTGGGGTAGATCTTATTTTTTGACCTTTTGAAGTGTGGATACAACAATCCACACTTATACAAAAATAGGGTGATTGGGGCAATTAAGGGTGCCGTACCTTTCCAATTTGGTAACAAATCGCTCTACAGAATGAGTGAAACGCACTTTTACTATCGATTCCTCACAGACGGAGTGCATTTGGTATCACTCCGCCTATGACAGGAGCCGGCGCTATAGAGGAGGGTTCGGCATATGCGGCTCTGCTCCCCCCGGTGCCGCTTTGCTTCCCCTAGCGCTGGCTTCGTTGGCACCGCTGATTCTCTCCTGCCTCTCCCGCGGCTCTTCAAGTTCCCCCTTATGCCACCACCGGCCCTGGGAATGGTCACAACTAGGTCTTATTTTCGGGGTAGGTCTTATATTTTAGCAATTCCCAAAAATAGTACTAGGTCTTATTTTTGGTGTAGGTCTTATTTTCGGGGAAACAGGGTGTTTGACGAGGCCGCCAGCATCCTAGTAACCAATGACGATGTGTAGCTAGATGTCATTGGTTGCTAGGATGCAGACTAGCAACCTAAGATGCCATGCAGCGAGGCCTCCAGCATCCTAGCAACCAATGACGATGTGTAGCTGAACGTCATTAGTTGCAAGGATGCAGACTTTGCATGCTGTGCAGCAAGTCCACCAGTGTCCTAGTAGATCTGATGGTAGAAGATTTGTACAATCAGATTGCATAGTGCAAGGGTGGGCAAACCCAACCCTCCAGCTGTGGTGAAACTACAAATCCCATCATGCATCTTTCTTAAGGAGTCATGCCTGTGGCGATGAGGATCTTGCAATGCATCGTGGGATTTGTAGTTCCACAACAGCTGGAAGGCCGGATTTTGCTCACCCCTGGTATAGCGTATGGCATTGGTACCGTGTTTCCTCGAAAATAAGACAGTGTCTTATTTTTTTTTTTGCACGAAATAAGACACTAGGTCTTATTTTCGGGGGATGTCTTACTTTCGGGGAAACACGGTAGGCAACCTCGGCACTACAACTGTTATGAAACTACAAGTCCCATGAGGCATTTCAAGATTTTACAGCCACATGCATGATTCCCAGAGGGAGAGGCATGATGAAATTTGTAGTCTCCTCAGCAATGGCGTTACAAGTTTCCCATACCTAGTGTATAGTCAGCCTTAGAAAATTGATTTTTGTAGTAACAAAAACCTGACTGGGTCTCCAACTCTTCCCTACTCTGTCCATAAGAAAATAAACAAGTTTTGTCCAGATCTCATACAATGTAACAAATGCCTGGCTGTCAGCCATACAGAAATGGTCACATGTGCTATGAAGACGCAGTGGAGAATGGACAGGCACATCTAAAGGGATGCAGGGACACCACCTTTCTACAATTGAATATGGTTTGTGTTGTGTATGTGCAGGGGAGCACGGCCAGGAGTCATATGACGAGATCACGTGACTCCAGCTCAGCTCTGGTGTTGTGTCTGGAGCGGAGTTTCCTTGTGCGTGGGTGACTGGACTTCCACAGCACATCCCACTTAGTCACCTATCAGCCACGTAGTGCGTGGTTCGGGTTTTTTTTTTTCATTCTTTATTTAGTTGACGCACATAGAAACATACAGATACATTGCAAGGGTTTTTATACATCACAAATCTTTATTATGTAACAGCTGTATCAGGAATATTTCGCTGCAACAGTAGAATTATTATTACTATTATTATACAGGATTTATATACCGCCAACTGTTTGCACTGCGCTTTACAATATAGGGAAGACATTATAATTATAATTACAATACAATTCAAGACAAGATGGTAAGGAGGGCCCTGCCCGTGAGGGCTTTCAGCTTACCATCTATAAGATTCATCAAAACGAGCAGATAGAGGGGGAATTCATAAAGCCAATCAGCTTCTCTCTTCAGCTTTAAAAATGAAAGACGCTGATTGGTTGCCATGGGCAACTGCTCCACATTCTACATATCAAAACAGTATATCAAAACATAGGTGTAGAGTGGGTTGGGTGAGTAATGAAACAGAAAGGGGGAAGCTACAAGACAGGGTGCAGGGAACAAGGACAATGAAGATGGGAGGCTATGAGCAGGGAGGCTAGAAGAGGAGTATGAGGGTGTCCAGAAGGGAGGTCTGGGTGGCGGTGGAATGTGAATATCGGTAGGATTGTACAGGGTTGGATCTCGCTCGTCTCTTCTGTCGTTTTCATAATATACAGATCTTCTGGTCACCTAGTAGTGAGTGTTTTTCATAATATTTATACAAGGTGGATCGTCCTGAAAATACACATACAGATTAATGACAGGAGCAGGTTTTATACACCACTGTGCACATATTTGGTAGCACAAGCTAGAAGAATATAGAAGGAGGTTATATAAAGATAATAGATGGAAAATGAGAGGATGATGGATGTTGTTGTTCTCTTATACTGTTTACCGTTATTTATCCACTGTGAAAAAAAAATAATTTCATTGGTACCCCAAACCAATCTTCCTCTCTAGAAGCCTATACCAGGAGCAGTGGGCGAGCATCTGCCCGTGCGTAGATGTGCAAGTCTCCAGCATGCGTGTGCACATGCTCTGTATTCTGGCACCAGATGGGCTATTTAGGCTGTGACTCCCAGATGCTCTGCTGCTGCTGAATGATCTTCAGCTTCCTACATACCGAGATCCTGTACCGTGACTCTGCTTCCTAATACCGACCCGGCTTATCATGACCATTCTGCTGATACCCTGTCTTGCCTGACCATAGCTTGTTCCTGACTCAGCTTTTGCCTGCAGTCCTGCGTTGTCTGCCCATTCCTGACCTCGGCCTGTCTTCTACTACAATCCTGTCCGCTGATTTGGTACCTCACCTCCTGCATGTTTTGACCTGGCTTGCAGCTTCCTGCACAACTTCCTCTGGTGTGCCTCTCCTGCATTACCTACACCCAGAAGTTTTTCACCAGGACCAGCACCTCCTGCAGTGAAGTCTTGCGGCACTTGCGCCTCTCCGAGCCCTGACTCACCTGTTCCACTGTTCAGGGGTTTTGGGACCAGAGCTGCAAGAGAAGCCTCCCTCATCACCTCAAGCTCGGTAAGGTATGTGACACTCCAAGCCACAATGTGCTCAACTGCAGTGCTTCAATACTGTATGTTGCACTGCATGCCCTACTTTATTCAACCACAACGCCATTGAAATGAATGGCACCGCAATGGACCTGCTGCACTGTAACGCACAGAAGTGTGTAATAAACACAGGTCCTTGTTGTAAACAGGCCCTGAGAGAGAAATCCGGCACATAATATTTGGGGCTCATTATCTGAATGCCTATATCTGTATCTGATATGAGAACCATTAGATGGATAATAACATATGATTGTTTATCTGAGGGCCATCTCTTGAGTAATGTGTTAACTAGGGATGGGCTGCATGTTCGACTCGAACATAGCCTGTTCTAGCGTTCGCCGAACATTACGGGATGTCCACGGTCTGTTCGACCGCGGAACATCCCACAATGCACTGCGCCGTCCGAAACGGTAATTGGCTACAGTCTTGCACCTTGCACCAAGACTGTGCCAATCAGGGCTCAGTACAAATATAGAGCCATGATTGGGCAAAGTCACGATGACTCTGCCCAATCATGTCTCACAGCTAAGTCCCTGCAGCACACTATATAAGGCTGCTGACACCGCGGCCCTATGTAGTGTGTTGTAGGAGATAGAGAGAGAGGGTTCTAGTATAGTTAATTAAAGCAGATTGATAGAGAGTTATAGATAGTTATAATAGACTTCTGTATATATTCGAGTTCTATATAAATATCAATAAAATGTATATAAATGTCATTTTTGCGTCAGCAGGTTCTATACAT